TCTCTCCCTACCTCCCTCTCCCACCCTCTCTCTCTCTCTCTCTCTCTCTCTCTCTCTCTATATATATATATATATATATATATATATATATATATATATATAATATGGTATTGTAAATACAACCTAGATAACAGTAAATTAAGTAAGCTTGAGAGAAAATAATTCAAATTACCAATAATACGAAGATTACCATAGTTTTGTTATTAGAAAAGTTAAGATATGCCAATAAATTCACACTTTTCAATACCATAAGTTTTAAGTATACAAAATTAATAATAGTAACAATCAGTAGTTTCATTTATCATAGCTTAATTGAAATCTCAGTATTTCGTTTTTTTCAGGGTAAGGTTATCATTAATACTCTCAATGTTCAAAACATGTTATCCATTTACACTTTTGGTCAGGTTTTGCTACTTGAGTGGATGACTACTGCATAATGAAGTGTACTTTTTATGGAGGATTTCGTCTCAAGTAGTTAAATATATTCAGCATCGCTGCTATAAACATTCCATATGTATTGCGGTTCAAGAAGTAGAACAATAAACTAAAATTTAATAAAAATTAAGACTTAAAATAAAGTCTATAGTGAAAATTGCACTTTTATATGTAACATTCACTTACTAAATAAATGAAAAAAATGTTTGAAAGTATTGGTCGGAACACGCTCATAGAATATTAAAAAAATTGAAAGTAAACCCAGTCATCCGTTCACACTATGATGATTCAGTAATGGTAACTTGTGAAAAATTAATCTTTTTGTCAATAGAGTTGTGGAGATTGTTGAGTTTTATTTGAGTTCACGAATCAATCAATGTTAGATAACCATCAAAAAGTGGAAGCATTAGGCCACCATTTCGTTCTAGTATGTGACTCATCAGCAGTGTGCATCCACGCTTCCGCACGCGGAACTTGAACGCACGAACTTCTATTGCTTCCAGGTTTCCAATGTTGATCTAACATTGATTGATCCATGATCTCAATTAATCTTTTTAATTTATTTTCTTTAATCATAGTTCAATACTATTCAATCATCAGCTGGATTAAATGTTAAGTCTATAACTTCGTTATCAATTTATAGTAAGGAATGAATATTTACAAAAAAAGCTATACATAACTTATTGATAAAATTCAGTAAACTAGAATTACTTCTCCGTAGTTACAAAAGAAATTATCTAAGGCTAATCATTTAGTTAAATATTGGAATACAATAGTAGTTATTGTACTCAGTTGATGCAACAGTTAATAGAAAATTAATATTTAAAAGAAAAAAAGATTAATATCAGTCATTTCTGAAATGATTTCATTATTTAGAGATAGTTCCACGATAATTTTCTTTTGCCAATTTCCCTTGATTACTCATTTAAGAAATCGATTGGAAATTTATATACACCGTAATTTATAGTAGTTCATTTGAAACTTTATATTCTTGTATGTAGTCTAACATATACGAATTTATTACCGTTAATGTTATTGCAAAGGTTATGGAGAATGCAAAATGTTTAGTAACATTTTTACCAATAAATAAACGATGATATATGTTGTATCTTGGTTATCAGTGACCAATAAAATCTATCAATGTCAATCCTTATATTATTGATTTATCGATTATGCTATTCACTTACTCTTTAGTAGTTAAGTGCATACCTAAAAATGGTTAAATGACTTTTTTAGTTTAACAATGAAACTTATTAACTCGTTTATAAATAAATTCTTTTAAAAGAAATGTCATTAATGGTTATCAGTGAATGTATTTTTAAGGTACAGAATGATCTTCATTATTTCTAAGATTATCTCATGTTTTACAGATTCGTTTTAAAGGTTATAAGTAGCAGATTATTACGGTCAAAAATGAATGGTGGCTAGCAGTGGAATGCAGAAAGAGCATTTCGCCTTATTTGAGACTCATCAGCTGGATATACCTGCATTCCAGATTAGATGTTCACTCTGGGACTGGAATCCAGTACGGTTCGCTCCAGATGCCATTACATTATCCACTTAGCTATTAAGTCCAGATAGTCACTAGCTTGTACAATGTAGTGAAGTGTAAATTCATTTTGCATATAGTGCTTGTGACTTAACACAATATTGAGGCAATCCTCACAGGATGCACATATGCCAATAACAGACTGATCGATTGCAGTCTTAACCATCAATAGGAACATTCAAATAAGCAATACAAAATGAATTTAAACTTCACCCGATTGTACAAGTCAGGACTCAATAGCTGAGTGGATAACGAGATGGCGTTTGAAGCGAACGGTACTGGGTTCGAGTCTCTGAGTGGACATTTACACGTAACCATCAGTGAGAATATTCAAACAAACCATATAAAATGAATTTAACAGATCATTAGCTTCTTCACAATAGTATGTCATTAAATCATGAAAATATTACAGCTCCCAAATAAAATAATTAATAGATCACTATGCAAAACTATAATTAACGTTTCAACTCTCACTAACCTGCCTATTCACCATTTACAAGAAACATGATTTCACATATTCACTTATTAAAAAGCAACATATTGCCAGCTAATTTATGGTCATACACAACTATTCTATTTGACAATTAAGAATTTTTTTTAAAAATAATAAAAAAGCATGGAATATAATTTATGGGATAAGTTACCTGGTTATGTCACTTCTATGTATATCTACGAATTCAGCTGCTCCTGTGAAGAAAGCTATATTGGGTGCACTACTAGACAACTGAGCCAAAGAGTTAATGAATACCTCCCTTCGTGGTTTGGAAAAGGTAATGTCATGACAATACGCAGTTCGGTTCTATCACACTTGATTGATAGCAATCATGTAGTGTACAGAAACAAGTCATTTAAATTTATTTATCGTATTCCTACTAGTTTTCTTTATAGTGTCCGATCTCGTCTCTTACACTTAGCAGCAACTACAGTAATTTAAAGATACCTAAATCTTTTCTTCTTGTTTTTCTCTTTGATTAATTATTTACCGGTCATTTTAATGTTTGAATAAGAGTGAACTTAGTTCACATGATAAGGTGTGAATAAATATATAAATTACTGATGTAATAAATTATCCTCTATCCGGTCAATAGATGATGTGATATGTATTAATCTGTAACCGTATGAAATACGATTATTATTTATGATAAAGGTGTTGGTTACTAATTAAGTGAACAGCGAAAAAAACAAAAAAATTTGAAAATTTTCTAGACGTTTTAAAATAAATCATTACATACATGGTAACTGAATTAAGATTATAGTAAGAAAGAAAGAAAAAAAACTGTCAGTGTAAATCTTGTGAACAATTTGTTTGTTTGTTTTTCACTTCAATGTATGACATCCAAGTTGAAATTCTTTACCGTTTACTACTCATTATTATATTATTCAATTAAAACTATGGAATTCATTAAGTAATTCATAAAAATATATATAAATGATTAGTAAGTAATTATATTGGGACTTATTTATGATTAGTCCCTTCAAAGTAAGTAGTTAAGTAATTAGGTAGAGGGTGATTGTTCTTAAAATGATTAACCAACGTTTATAAATTATTATTATTATAATCAGTACTAGTAGTAGTAGTATTCATGTGCTTCTAATAGATATGTGTGAAACATTAGTATAACTAATAACGTTGGAATGATACATGCATAAATAAATCATAGAATGTCAAGTTTAAGGTAGTTTTTTATACTTTTGTATTTTACACTAATGAGTTATAATTTACTTCTAATCTTAACGAAATAATGTGTTTTTCTTGGCTTAATTGTATATATACATTCAGACTAAATACCGAAAGATACGATTATTACTGTTAATTTGATTTATTTAGTACCTTGGCAAAATAAATTCGTCTCTAACGTAACACATGTATATTCTAATACGAACTGTTATCTGCTTGCTTTTTTTCACAATAGATTCGTAATACGATGATATGATAATAAACATTCTCATTATTAACATTCAGCTGAATAGTCTTGAATTGGTCGAAATGCGAGTCCTGGATTCCACTGTTAAACACCATCCATCTTTACTTAGATTTACAACAAGTTTTAATATTAAGATTTCATTTATTTCATATTTCTCATAATCAGTTATTTGTTCAAACCGTTTAAATCATATAGTTCATTAGCTTTTAAAGATATAGAGATTTACAGAAGTTTACATCAATTTATGTGTGTACACTTTATATAAACGTAATGGTAGGAAATCAACTGAATAAAAATCAAATAAAGTGATTTAAATGTATTAATGTAATTGGTAAGCTAAACAAATAGAGTAGGATTCCTAAGGAACAAATACAAATGACCAGCTGTGATTATTATTTAAAAGGATACAAACAATATATATGTCTATGATTTTGTAACTGAATAATAAAGTTTAACTTAGAAAATTTTCAACTATAAACTGTAATTATCACGTCGACTATAAGTATGATCTTTAAATTGTTAAACTTCATCAAATGATCTAATGTCATGGTGTGATCGTTATCTACCTTTTGGTTAAAATTAAAATAAATTTAAGCGATGCTTTTTGTTCGAATTAGTAACTATTTTTACCATTCAAAAGGAATATCTCACGTTCGTTTACTTACTTAATTAATTACATCTGTTACCCCTGGTGGAGGAGCATAAGTCGCCCACCAGCATTCTCCATACAACTCTGTCCTGGGTAATCCTTTCCAGTTGTTCTTTTTTCATATCTGCTTCAGTTTCCAGACGTAATGTGCTTTTTTGGTCTTCCTTTTTTTCGTTTCCCCTCAGGATTCCAAGTTAGCGCAGGTCTCGTGATGCAGTTTGGTGATTTCCTAAATGTATGTCCTATCCACTTCCAACGTCTTTTCCTAATTTCCTCTTCAGGCGGAAGCTAGTTTGTTATCTTCCACAGTAGGCTGATGCTGATGGTATCCGGCCAATGAATGTTGAGTATCTTGCGCAGACAGCTATTTATAAATACTTGTACATTTTTTATGATGGTTGTAGTGGCTTTCCACGTTTCAGGTCTGTACAGTAGAAATGTCTTGACGTTCATATTAAAGATTCTGAGTTGGTTGACAGTGTTTTGGAATGAATGGTCTGATAAAAATTGGGCACAGACTATATATATACCAACAGCGAATTTCTGAGTGAGTCAATCCTTCAAATTTAACGAATTAATATTTCAAACACTGATGATATATTAACCACCATGATTTACAGTATATATTGTGGAACAGTGGCTCAGTGATCAAGACACTCGACTTTCAGCTAATGAGTCGTAAGTCTAAACTCCGATTCACGTATTTTGGTTTGGATAACTGGGTTGTATCACTAACTCTCACATGTATGGTATAAATCAAAGCCAAATACATGAATCCGTACCTGATAAATGAGTCGATCATAATGGTAATAATAATAATATGCATGAGAACCTGTTTAGTTGAAAATAGGTTAAGTTCATATATAGATGTTACATTCTATAGTGAGAATTCAATTCGAAAAAGTGTTGATTAGTCTAATTTTTTCAGTGTATGTTCTCTTTTTGGAATTTTAGCTAATGGGGACTCGAAAATGTCACTCCTAGAGTTATTACCTCGAAACTATATCAGATGACAACTGTTATGATCTCATAAGCTAGTAATTACATTGAAGAACTGACTAGTATCGGGCTAAAATTAAACAGCTATATGTAGTGAGAAGCTAATAATATAATTTTTACATTTAATGCATACGAATAATTACTTTAAAAATATTGTTATCATCAAAAACTGTTCTCAACCAGAAAAATCTTGAGTATCAGAAAGCATCAGACAATTATTTTGTTTTAGACTGAATCTCATCTGAAGTGAATATCCATACGGCATCAGAAATTAGATGGTTAATACTCTTTTGACAATTCTATGAAGAATATGATGCTGCATTAGGAAAACATTTATATTTATGTAAAAAATAATAATAATAATCTTGCGATGTTTGAGTTACTGATTATTTGATCAACTAGTCAATAATTCGTCTATATAATACTGTAATTCGGTAATCAATCAAATTTTAATGGTATGTGACTGTCAAAAATTGTAGAAAGTGTCATTATCTCAAGCCAAATGAACAGTATAGAATCATATGATGACTTTTATTGATTTGCTAAACATTGATTCATGGATAATTAGTTTGGTGAATTATTGCAATTCGATCAGTAAAATTCTATCAACACTAAGATATTATCAGTTTAGGGTTGTGGAGATTGTTGAGTTTGAATTGATATCATAAATGGATAGACGTTTGACCATCATCGAAAACTTGGAAGCATTGGACGACCGTTTCGTCCTAGTATGGGAATTCTCAGGGGGGTCATGGACGCAGCCGTCCAGTGCTTCCAGGTCTTCCATGGTAGTCCAGCCTCAATTGACTCATGATCTCAACTATTAAAATTACTATAACAACCACAAGATCCCTTCTGATATTAAAGAGAGATATTTACAATGGTAAAACAAATAACCAGACTTTATATAGTACATATACACTTCTAAATTCTGAACACGCTGAAACTGTATATCTACTTGTTTTCTGAGTTTTTTTATTAAATGAATATTTGATAACGTTTTAGGATTATAAACAGATTTATACGGCTATGTATATAGTTCATAAATAGCACTTCAAACGAACTGATTTCAGCGATACAACTGTGTTTGCTGACTACTGATGTCAAGACAATTCTCTATTTTAGTAATTTGCTGACACCAGATTATTTACTAATCATTGCTCCAGTTTTTCTGCTTCATAAATTTTCAAACTGACTTCAACGACTAGTATTTTAATGTTAGAGAATTCTTGAGGAAACTGATACTCCTTAGTTGCTTTTAAACTGAGTCACCCAGTCTGGGCTACTATCATTGAGCTTTTAGGAGTACGATTGATCATTTGTAGTACCGAGATATTTACAACCGATTTATTATTGAAAAGTAACCTATACCTTGATTAGTTAGTATCTTAGTCCGCGTGCGGAATCGTAGATGCACACTGATGAGGAGTCCGATACTAGGACGAAACGGCCGTCAAGTGCCTCCAGGTTTTCTATGGTGGTCTAGCTTCAATTTAATCTCAACTATTAAAATCTCTTTTTAAACTTGAAATTAAGGGAATGTCGTATAACTTTCGACAATTACGTTAATATAATATTCCTATTAGTTTAAGATTTTCTATTTCAATTAATTATACTGTGTTACAATTATCATGCATAATCTATAATTATATTTATAGTTTTTGATGATAATCTGGAATGTAAGAAAACGTTTATAAACCAGTTTTCTATCATTGAAAGGAAGTACCATTATATATATGTGTGAGCAGGATACACGTAATATTAACTGATGTAAATAAACATTCCACTGTGTGGTCTATCAAGTTATCAATCGATTAAGTTACCCACCTGCTTACATTTTAATGTAACGAACGTATTTTATTGTGCTTACTTTGTACTATTTTCTAAGTAATATTTTAATATTACCATCTGATTGATTATTCTTTGTTAGATTATTTATATAATAATACCATAAATATTGTAATGCCATTTATGATATATATTGTTTATGACACATGGATTACTTTTTGTATGAACAGAAATGTAGACCGATTTACCTACTTGTATGTTGATTATTTTCTTTTACTTATACTGTAAACCTTTTTGAAAAGAGTATAGCTGATTGTATTCCTTGGTATATATATGAGTTTGCTTAATAGACGTTCTACAAAATAGGGTTATTAGTTTGTATCACTGATTAGAATTGACGGACTTCCTCAATTTACCTAGACTCTATCAATCATTATTTCTAAAGGTTACACCTGAGACTGGGGTGAAATATTTTATTATCTTGAAGGCATGACAGAAAAGTGTAACAGTAATTCAGTGTTCTATAATAAACATTTATGTAACCTAGTTGAATTGTAGGAACTGTGATACATAGTTAATTTTCTAAAACTTGAACGTCTGCCTCAGCAATGTTGTTTCTAGGTTATACAGAGATCGTTTGATATCCGTTAAGTAGTCATCCTCAGTATGTCTCTGTCAATGAAAAAGGAGATTTGAATGAACAGGAAACCAAGAAAAATATTAAGCAGTACATTTTCACGTTTGTTAAGCTACCATACTTCTGACTTAAATTATTCATTATTTTCTAACTACGGCTACTATATCATCATTCTAGGACATAAACTTATAAGAATCTATAGGATATGTATGTTGAATAAATTAATATTCAGAATTGATTTTTTAAACTCAAACACAAGTATTAGAATAGGGATTTGTGGAGTTGAATTCACGAGTCGATGTGGTTGTGCTCTGCTAAAGAGTCCCATACTAGGATGAAACAACCGTCTAATGCTTCTAGGTTTCCAATTGTGGTCCAACTTACATCAACTCATGAATTCAACTATTAAATACTAGTTTCAAGAGTTCAACAAATAAACCATACATCCATATTTTGAACAGTCTATCTATTTAAAAAATCATCTACTTTCGAAAGGAAATATCACTAATTAAGTGATATTAATCTTTGACAAATAAAATGATTATAATAATTCTATAAATAGAATATGTAAAAGAATTTACTTAATTTCAGTAGTTGAGTTCATGAGTCAGTTGAAGCTAGACCACAATGAAAAACCTGAAAACACTGCATAGCCGTTTCATCCTAGTGTGAGATTCCTCAGAAGTGCGCATCCACCAGCCCGTTTCACAAGATTAGAAACCAGGACCTATCGATCTCGCATGCAAATGATGAACCTCTACACCACTGACCCAGTCGGCATCCAACGGTATTAATATATAACTTCAACTAATTCACCAAATTGAGCGACACATTCACCATTGTTTTCAGTCAGTTACTATCTCACAACAGACCTGATCGAACTCCACTAGTCACTGCTTCTCACTAGAACTCGAAGAAATACCTCTTGAATTCAGTCACTAGTGAGTATATGTTGATTAATATCAGAAGGAGTTTTTTTCTGGATATTATATTAATTTATTATTATTACAGCATATTCTTTCTATAATAAATTCTCAACTGATTCATGATTCAAATGAATGATTCAGAGTAGTAGTCAAGTCTGAGTAAAATGTATCTTTTTAAAAATACGGTGGGTAGTATTAGGAATTTGTCTTACTCACTTACTTGCACCTGTTATCCATCATTGAGGAGAATAGACCACTCACCAGAATTCTCTATCCAATAATTCTGTCCTGCACAATTCTTTCCTTGAACTCGAAGGGCAGAGATTAAATAATTTAAATTGTTTATCCTAGTTAGCGTTTTTTGGCAGCTTTGTTTTCTATGGTATGGGGTTACCGACCCCACTCTCAACCCTCCTTCTTACTCAGGCTTGTGACCGGCAGCAGTCCTAGAAGAGCTACAGGCGAAGTTTTTAGGAATTTGTAGTAGAATAACATTATAACTGTCAAAAAACCAGTTTGAATAATCTTTTAGATAATTCATTTAAACTGTAGAATTTGATGGAGATTTGTTCGGAAGAATATACTTCCTTTTTTGTATATCTATTTAATATTCATTGGAATTTTTAAAAGGTTGAAATGACCTATTCAAAATGTTTACTGTTCTAGACGGCGAGATAAAGGAATAAACAAAGTAAATAATAATTTCATCCGTATATATTCTTATTCAGTCACCAAGAGCTGTAGTCTAAACAGTTTTGATAATTTTTAATATCTTAACCATTAATCATTTAATGGTACTTTGGAAACAGTAGTAAATCTAACGATAACAACTTTAGAGTGTGTAGAATTTTGGCTAGAAAGTTCATATAATATTGGATACTTTCTAATTCCTGACAAAACTGAAAGAGAAAATCTGAATATTTCTATGGTTAATTGGAATATTTATGATTTTAGTTTATAAATTGATAGCTAAAATAAAAAGGTATATTTATGGTAAATACAGTTAGTTATCTTATTATTAGTGAAAATAACTCGCCATTTAATTTTACGTTAGAATTTATATGATATAATGGTATGTGATTTGTCATGAAGACGAATAAATCAATATCTATGATGTTAGTCCAACAATAGGAACTTAGGTCTTTCATCTAATCACTCATAAATCAACATTAAAAACTGATGACTATTATGTTGGTA